TAGAAACATCAGTGGGAGCCTGATCACCCCATCAATATGACCCCATAACAATAATGAAATTGAAATTCCCAAGCAGATAGTTCTTACCCGTGAATTTCACTGCAATAGAATTAAAGACATGATAGCCAATAACCAACCCCAAGAACAATCCCAAACAGTAGCAGCCAAACAATTCAGAAAATACTTGGTAATGATACCTGCCCAAAATTGAACCCCAAACCACCCCTAAGAGATGACCACACACTAAGGAACCACCAGAAACTGCGACTAACGCAACAAACTACTAAACTACCGACAACCTCAGAACCAGGTGCGCTAACCAGAAAACCCCCCTAATGTGCCGAAAAAAAAAAAAAAACCACAAGAGACACTCAGACAGTGTCGAAAATACCAAGCAGCCCCAAAAACAACTCAGACAGCAACGATGAGAAGCCCAACGTGACCCAAAGACACGAAAAGAAAAAAAACAGAAACCCACAAGAAAGTTTGTAACTTAAGAACTTGGCTCTGATACCATGTCAATTGGATTCATGTCCTCTTTGTAGGATTTCTTCTCATTATATAGGCACAAATGTGTAATATAAGTGAATCAAGCCTAAATTACAGCATTAAATCTGTCTACAAAACTGTATAATACAGATTTTGTAAATAGAAGTATATGTACAACTGGTGAAACAAATTAAGGAAACTGGATCGTATCATGGTGACACTCGAAACCCAGTTTCTTTGCATCCCTTACGATTGAGGAAGTGTAGGGTTAACAGCAAATTCTGCTTGCTCGATATTTATAATTTTACCGTCGACATCTAGCATACATTCTGGATCGTAGTACGTCGACGGTAAAAGATATTTATAAATGTATTTTATAAGTTACCGTGGTAGTGCCATACTAAAGATGAACAATGAGTCATGTTTTGAATACGAAATTTTAACAGTTTTTGAAATCGAGTTTGATTGATGGGACATGGTGTAATTTGATGCTTTGTTTTCCTTCTGATTTTGTGAATTGTGTTTTATGCGGAGGTAAGTGAAAGTTTATAAATCTTGGCTACATGATGCTGGAGGATTCAAAATCTACATTCACGATACACTGAAGGATTGAAGACATAATGTACATTCTTAGTCTTTTTCTGTGATCCTTTACATTGGTGTGTTATTTTTTTAATGTTAATTAGTTTTGATATGAACAAATATGAACGACTTTATTCAGTCCGTCCTGCATTTTGAAATACTAGGTTTACCTTCGTTGAATTTAACAGACGGTTTACATAATCTTTTAAATGGGAGGAATTTTCTATTTAAAGATTAGAATCTCTCATTTTGATTTTTATAGGTTTTGATATTTTTTCAGAGTTAATAACTTACCCCTGAAACTCAAGAAAATTTCCTTTAGACCTCTCAATTATCAGAAACTACTATGGAGATCCTGGTCATCTATTTTGCAGTTAACTGCCAGCTTAATGAAGTAGAATGTCGCCCTACTAAATCCTATTCTAGCATTTGTATATTTGCTTTTCATATAACCTCAAGGATTAACTTTCAATTCGATTTATTTGTAAGCAAGGAAAGTAAGTTTAAAGTATCAACATCCATTATCTTCAAATTTATAAGGAAGTTTGGTTGGGGTATATGGGATTATTAGAGTAATGTCATTTTATTACTTATTACCACGTTTGATTGTTAAATATATAAGATACTGATAATCTTCAAATACCAATAGTAGTTACGTGTTGGTAATATTGGAGTAATTTGATTACTTTCATTTCCTTAGGTACTTTAAGATTACTAAGTAATATTTTTTTGTTACAATTTTATCCTACTTAATAAAAAGTGTACCAAAAGCACTTATTTTTAAATTTATTTACAAGAATATAGTTTTTTACTATTTCACCCCAATTAATTAACTTTTTTGACAAAATTACCCATGAATTCAAACAAATTGCAACCCACCTAAGCCACCACCCCCCCCCACTTGTTGTCGCCTGTCGTCGGCAACCACAACTGCAGCCAGCTGTCGCTGTCGCCAGAATGGTGCACAGAAGGCTGGAAATGGTTGTCGTGCTTCTATATGGCCATTTTCGACCAGATTCTAGCCAAAAATGGTCAAATCATGCCAAATTTGGCCATTGCCAGAAATGGTCAAATCATGCCAATTTGGCCATTGACAGCCAGGCCATATCTGTCATATCTGGCCATTTCTAGCCGGATCACTGGCCAGAAATGGATCCGGCTAGAAATGGTCATACGGCGCATGGAGGCCATTTCTTGCTTTCCATGCGTCGTTAGGTTGCCAACTGTCGACGACCTGCGATGGTTTTGACGACCAACAATGGCTGTGTTGGTAGGAGTGCTTTGTTGATTTTCCAAACTTTTATTATGGGATTGTTTTGCTTAAGTTTTTAAATGCAGGGGGGTTTATAATCCATAATATCAGTATTAAAATAATTTAATAATAATATTTAATTAGAGGACAATTCAATATTTAAATAACATATCTTTATTAATTTTTCCCAATCAAACATATTATATATATACCCAATTAATCAAAATATTTTCCTAAAGATTTCTAGTATCTTCAATGTAATCTAACTTTCCAGTAATCTACATTCTCTAACTAAACTCCCCTAAATTCTTTAGGCGATACTTGAAATCTTAATTGTTGGAGGAAATTAGTATTAAATGATCTCATGCACAAATCTTCAGAAAGAGAAATTTTGAGATCAAGTGAACACTCTAAATTTTAACTTCTTCAAATGCGTACACCATTGTTTAAAAGTGTAACACTACTGAAAACTGTACAATGCATGCAAATAACAATAGAAAGTTGAGCCCAAGTTTTCTTTTCATTACAATTCATGTGTCTTTTATAATCAAGAGTACTGTTTACAAAATGTATTTTAAAAGACAATAGGGGAAACAGTGTAGCTATCCTCATTGCTTGCCGACGCCCCTCCGCCCGCAACATCACCTAGAACCTGCATCCACAAAGGAAAATAACGGGTGACCAAAATAATGCTCAGTAAGTAAACTCTCTAACAGTCTGTCCCCGTGTGTGACTCTTAATTCTTTCCTTATGCTATCTCTGATTCTATTTCTGTTTCTAATACATCATGGCCTCATCTTACCGGAGGTACGGCCGATGGTCACACAGCACCATCTCACTCTCTATGGCTTTCGGTGGAATTCACACAGTCCCAACCCGTTCTTAGTGACTACCGGTGAGGCACAAAGCACCAACTCGGTTCTTTCTAACTATCGGGTGGAGATCACCTAGCGCCTACCCGTTCCTCATAGATTTTGGTAACGATCACCAAGCATTTACCCGTCCTAGTCACTATCGGGTGATGGTCACAAAGCATCAACCCGCTTCTACTAGCCGTTGGATGATGATCACAAAGCATCAACTTACCTACTCTTAACTAACGGATAGTGGTCACAAGCATCTACCCCTTTTCTATTACTCATTGGGTGACGATCACAAAGCATCGACCCATCTCTCTAGGGCTATTCGGATGATGATCACAAAGCATCAATCCGATTCCCATAACGGTCGGGTGATGATCACAAAGCATCATCCCAACTATACTACTCTTCTAATTCATTCTATGTAGCATTTTTCAATGCTCTCTACCCTTAGAGCAACTTTACCCACTAAGCTCTCTACTCATGGGTAATTGCATACACCATTTCCTTACACTTTCTTAGGTCACTTTTCCATGTACAACTATGCCTATGGATGGTTCATCTTCACCAATGCACTTATGAGATGCCAACATGCAATGTTGCAAGAATTAAGGTTCATTACTCACACTTAAACCTCTATTAGGCATTTCATCAAACATTCATGTGCCCTATAAACTCTATCATAGCCATGATTCTAAAACTTTTCTTAACCATCCAAAATGAGGAAACCCCTTCACAAGCCACAAACCTGCCATAGAAAACACTTCCAAAAGGGGATCCTAATACCCCTTAATTCCATCTCAACTACCTTGCCAACCCACAACCCATTCCTCAAATTTGCAAGGTATAAACAATCACAAGCATAGAAATCTCTATTAATCCTTCCTACTGCATATTACATGCACATCACATACATACATCATTTCTATCAAAACCCTAATCAAAAAATCATAAATCTCAACTTGGGTTGGGTTTTACTTACCTTGTTAGGAGAGACTTCACCAACTCTTCCTTTCACTTGTTTAGCTTGACTTCTCCTCTAATCTTACCAAAAGAATGAAACCCTCAAACTTCAATGGGTTAACTCCCAAATCACACAACTTAAGAAAAATCCTTACCTTAGGAAGCCTTAGGTTGCTTTTCTACTCTAAATCACTCAAAAATCCCTTGGAAATCCTTGATCAAAAGAAAGAGAAGTTGAGAGGAGAGAATGAAGAGTCACGTTTGAGAAGAGAAAATGAGGGGTTTCTTTGATTCTAATTCCTTTTTAATGAAATATAAACACACTCATTCCATTTTGCCCTTGTTCTACTTTGGGAATTCCATCCATATCCTTTGTTCATTACAAACTCACCCCTAACTCAACCTATTCTCCATGAAAAATCCTTACAATTAACTCCCCACTTTTCCTGCTAATTAGGGTAGAAAGGTCAAATTGTCCTTAGGAAGAAAATATCTAAACTCAATCACCTTTTATTCGGCCTGTCGCCGCGCGAAGAATTAGGCATCAGTTGTGCTTAATGGTGTTCTAGTAAATTTGAGTGAAAGTAGGTCTGAAGTGTATTAATGCATTTTATTATTGTAAACAGTATACTTCATCAATATAAATGAAGGCAGATCCATGTTAGATCAGAACAGTAGTCAAATTTAATGATATATAACCATTTTGGTTGGGTTTGGGATGATTTGTGATGAGACCAACAACACATTAGTGTATGGGAGGAAAAATGAAGGTGTGAAAAAGGGATGAGGGACGAATTGTTAGGCTGTATGTTGAGTGTGTGGGTGATACCAGGTTTATGAGAGAGTGACAAGTGATGATTGATGGGGAGCTGAATTCGGTTATGGTAAGACGGTACGAAGAATAAAAGGGAATGCCAGAGATCTGTCTAGGATCATTCGAAAATAGTAAAAAAGGAAAAGGGTTGGGGAGGTGCTGGCCCTGGAAGTCCAGCGGGTTTCTTTGTTCTTAGCAAATTTATTTCTAAATGGTTTGGTTTATGTTTATCGTCTGTTATGCTGAATTGTAGTTGTAGATGAACTGTTATTGGAGTAGTGTTGTTACAGAGTTGCTATTTTATATATAAATTGAGGTTATTCAGTATTGCTTTGTGTTCTTTAATTGTTTTGGTGTGATTGAACTGTTCTGGTGTGACTGGAATTTATGGGTTGTTGACTGTTGAAGCTTCAGAGTGTTCTGGGTTGTTTGTGAGTGATCATTTGCAGGTGAAGTTTGGGGTTTCTAACAATTTGTAATATAGAAGAACAGGAACTGTTATCATTTGAATCAAGCTTATGACAGGCATCATATTGCAGTGGCTGTACTCTGACCTGAATTACAATTTACTGTTAGTTGGTGCAATGGGAGTTTAGGAATAATGAATTACACAACCAACCATTGCTAATGCTACAAATAATTAAATAAGGTTTTGTTGTTAAATGATAGTTTGAGTACTATCATTTTCTTGGTATGCAGTGGTGTTGCCAAAAAGCAGCCTTGCCTTTTAAGTGTTCTACATTATTCTGCTCTTTTTCTTTGGTTTCTTGAATTGTTTTTGTTATTTTGACCTGCTTTCTGAATTGTTCTTACTTCTCCGAAAATGCATGGCTTTACTTCTCTACATACAAGCTACTGTTACATGGTCCCGTTTTAGATACTGCTGATAAGTTACAACTTGACACTTCCAATATATTTGCATCTTTTGTTTTTTCATTTGTTTGACTTTGGTTCACTTAAGTATTGACTATTGATTAGACACTTAATTCTTTTTCTTTCGTGGACTGCTTCAGAAGGGAAGAGGGGCTGAAGCTGAGGCTGAATTTGAGAAGCTTTTGGGAGGATTACATGTAAAGCACTCTATGGCTGAACTTTCAAAGTCAGATAGAGGGGATGAGGCAGAAGTGGTGAAGTTGTCAGAGTTGATCTTTGGCCGCCATTTTCAAGGTAAACATGAATATGTTTCAAGTTACATGAGCATCCAAGTCAGTTCTATATGTTTCCTTCTAAAAGATTACTTTTAACTTCTCCATTTGCAGTGGTTTTCATTGGGTCTGCCCTTTTTGCTTTACAACAGCTATCCGGCATAAATGCTGTATTCTACTTCTCGTCAACTGTCTTTAAAAACGCTGGTGTACCTTCAGACTTCGCAAACATTTGTGTGGGAATTGCAAATTTATCAGGTAAAATATTGATTTACTCCCAGAGGGTTTACCTTTAAAATAGATGATTGTTTATTTTGATCAAATTGTTTATGCTGTGTTAGGGTCAATTATTGCGACGATTTTGATGGATAAGCTTGGAAGAAGGGTTCTTCTACTAGGAAGTTTTTTGGGCATGGTAAGGGAAATGTTTGAAAACAGATTAAATTTCTGAAAATTTCTCAGTTACAATCTAATTTAACCTAACATAATGGTACTGCACCATTTATTGATTCCCTAAATATACATGTATCTATAAGTAGTGTCTTTTGATTATATATTGGATTATTTACTTCAGACTATGATGCTTGACTGGCAGTGATTTGTAGCTGTGAAATTAGACTTTGTTGAAGGTATAGGGTCAATACTAGAGTAGGGGTATCCTAAATAGGGTTGATCAATTTGTCATTTCTGCATTTGTGTTTTCAAGTGTGGTGTCAGTAATTTATCATGTCTACTATTTAGTGCATCCACACTTTAAATCTTGCATCATGTAAACTATGAACAATTAATCTATTATTTGCTTAATGCATTTTGTTGGTTTAGGCCGTAGCAACAGGTCTTCAAGTAATTGCGGCAACTTCTCTTGTTTCAAGCTCTGGAGCATTGTATCTATCTCTTGGAGGCATGCTAATGTAAGTTGTAAATCCCTGTCTACACGGAAGTCAAAAGAAAAAATGAACATTGTACCCTTTTTTGTTTTTGAAATGTCCCATTCTACATTGTACCCTTTTTTGTTTTTGAAATGTCCCATTCAGTCACCACAGGATGGCGTAAGTTCAAGAATTGATGTTTTGGAATTAGACACTGGAGAAATTTCTATATTATGGCATGAGTAAATGTGTATTTTGAGTGATTATGATATTAAAATGGATCACAAACTTGATGGGTTAGAAATATCCATGTTAAACTCAATTGGACCATATGTACCTAGAATGATATATAGCATGCCTATGTGATGTAATTGCTCAAAGATTGTTAAGGGAAACACATTACGTTTAAATAAATGTTGATCTCTGATGTAATGACATGCTTTTTCTAAATGACTTGATAATGCAGGTTTGTCTTGACATTTTCCTTGGGTGCTGGTCCTGTTCCTACTCTTCTCCTATCAGAAATATTTCCCAGTCGAATCAGAGCAAAGGCGATGGCAGTTTGCATGGCTGTGCATTGGGTAATTGTTTGTTGATTTTAAACTGACCAATTTAATTTGCTTAAGGAGAAAACCAAACAGTTCAATCTTAGTTAATCTGAGATGGTTAGGTGCCTTACATTGGATGTTAAATCCTCATATATTTGGGGAAATACATTATTTATCTCGCTGACAGCATCTTTTTAACAGGTGATAAATTTTTTTGTCGGCCTGTTCTTTTTGCGCTTACTGAAGCAACTGGGGCCGCTAATCCTCTATACAATATTTGGTTTCTTTTGCTTAGTAGCTGTTATTTTTGTCAAGAAGAACGTGATGGAAACAAAAGGAAAATCACTCCAAGAAATTGAGATTGCACTTCTACCTCCGGAATAGAGAAAGGTATGCCATTTTCTTGTTGTTCGCTGAACCACATCATCTCCACTAATTATAGGGTCAACATTTGTTTTTCAAGAAACCGTAACTTTGTATCAAGCAAAAAGACGAGTATATTTCTAGGATGACAAACTTTATAAAGACAAGGGAAGTATTTACACAGATTAATCTATTATCTATTTGTCCTCTCGATGTCAATTGGATTCAATGTCCTTTTTGCGAGGATTTCTTCTCATTATATAGGCACAAATGTGCAATACACGAGGCTAGAATCAAGCCTAAATATCTGCCTAAATTACAGCTATTATATCTGTCTATACCAAAACTGTCTATATACAGATTCTGACTAAATAAAGAAGTATATATGTACAACTGGTGAGAACTAATTAAGGAAACATGGATCGTATCATGGTGACAATCCCACAAGAAACTGATGACGTTGTCGTGTCACGGCCTTCGTAAACACATTTACAATCTGGAGGTCAGTAGAAATATGAGGAAGAGAAATGATACGAGTGGCCAATACTTCCCGAATGGAATGAGAGTCCACCTTAATGTGTTTGGTACGCTCATGAAAGACGAGATTGGCAGCAATCTGAATGGCACTAGTGTTGTCAGCATGTAGAGGAGTAGGATTGGATTGAACACAACCAATCTTAGCAAGGAGGCCACGAAGCCAAAGAATCTCAGAACAAGCAGTAGACATTGTACGGTATTCAGATTCAGTGGAAGATTTGGACACGCGATCTTGTTTCTTACTCTTCCAAGATATCAAAGAGTCACCAAGAAACATGCACCAACTTGTAACAGATCGTTGCGTATCAGGACATCTTGCCCAATCTGTATCACTATAAGCCACAAGCTGAAGAGGAGTCCTAGTAGGAAAGAATAGGCCACGACTAGGAGAACCTCGAAGATACCGAATGATACGACGAACAGCAGCTAAGTGTAGATGACGTGGAGCCTGCATGAACTGACTAACCTGCTGTACTGTAAAGGAAATAGCAAGACAAGTAATGGTTAAGTAGTTCAGGCTCCCCACTAACTGTCGATACATAGTAGGGTCGGAAAGGAGATCACCCTTTTCCTGACGATACTCCGTGTTTACTTCCATAAGAGAATCCACAGAAGAAGTATCTTGAAGACTAGCCAATGCAATCAGATCCTGAGTATATTTATTCTGATTCAAAAAAATGCCAAAGGAATCAGTATGAACTTCCAAGCCTAAGAAGTATGTAAGAGAACCAAGGTCCTTCATATGAAATGAGGCTTGAAGATGTTGTTGCAGTCGGGTGATCAAGCTAGAGTCCGTGCCAATAATAACAATATCATCAACATAAACCAGAAGGAGGACAATGCCAAGAGATGTCTTGCAGAAAAATAAAGAAGAATCATATGCACTCTACTGAAATGAAAATTGGAACAAAGTGGAGCGAAATTTATCAAACGAGGCCCAAGGAGCTTGTTTCAGCCCATGCAATGATTGTTTCAACTTACAGACATCCGAGGAAGAGGATGACAAACCAGGTGGAATGGTCATGTATATCTCTTCTTTGAGATCACCATGAAGAAATGCATTTTTGACATCCACCTGATGAAGAGACCAACCTTGGGATGTAGCAACAGACAGGACAGTTCGTGCCGTAGTCATTTTGGTAACTAGAGCAAAAGTCTCCTCATAGTCCACCCCATATTCTTGTCTATTGCCAAGTGCAACCAACCGGGCCTTATATCGATCCAGAGTTCCATCAGAACGCAGCTTGAAAGAATAGACTCATTTGCAACTAATAGCTTTTACCTGAGGTGGACAAAGGATAACATCCCTTGTATGATTATCCTGGAGAGTCTGATGTTTAGCTGCCTTAGAATAACCTGATGAAATGGGAATAGTAGATAGAGTAACATGGAGAGAGGTATGAGAAAAACCATACCGGTCTGGCGGACGAGGCACTCTGGTCGAGCGGCGAGGAACTGGGGTAGTATCTGGATCACCCATAAAGGATTCAATCTGAACAGGCTCAGATGATGGACCAGGCTTAAGAAGGGGCAAAGTAGGTTGTCGTCTTTCATATACAAGTCTAGATTTGAATCGGTCAATAGAAGAGGTCAAGTCATCAAAATGAGGCAAAACATATATCTCAAGCAAAGACTTATCATGAGAAGGGAAAAATGATTGATTTTCAAAGAACACAACATGACGGGAAATACGAAGTTGGTTAGAGCATGGATCATAGCAAACATAGCCTTTGTGTGAAGTACTATAACCCATAAATGCACATCTAACAGATTGAGCAGATAACTTATGTCGTTCATGAGAAGGCAAATGAACAAAACAAACACTGGATGGCAATCTAGGATGCTGATGATAAAGACGAAAGTAAGGAGTTTCATAATTCAAGACACTGGATGGCAATCTATTAATTAAATAAACAGTCATAGATAAAGCTTCAACCCAGAATTTAGGAGGAACAGATGATTGAAGCAATAGAGTACGAACAACATCCAACAAATGTCTATTTTTATGTGTAGGAACACCATTTTGTTGAGGTGTATATGGACAAGAACGCTGAGAAACAATGCCTTTTTGTTTGAGAAAATCATAAAACTCACGAGACATGTATTTACCCCTTGAATCAGACCTCAGAATTTTAATGCTAGAAGAAAATTGAGTCTCGACATAGACAGTGAATTGTTGGAAAATAGATAAGACCTCAGATTTAGCATGAAGAAAATAGATCCAGGTATAGTTTGTATAATCATCGATGAATGTAACAAAGTATTTATAATTTGCATGTGAGATAACCGGAGAAATTCCCCACACATCACTATGAATTAAATCAAAACAACGTTCAACATGACTACCATGAGAAGGAAAAGAAAGAGACTTACTTTTACCTAATTTGCATGTGAAACAATCAAAAGAGAGAGGAAAAGAAAATTGATCTTTATTGCCCAACAAACCAGAATTTATTATATGAGATAAAATAGCAGAATTAGGATGATCCAACCGTTTGTGTCATACTTCACATTTATTGTTCATAGCGTTACAAGCAAATGAAATAACAGCAGGAATGGAAAAATGCATAGGAAATAAATGTCCAACTTTAGGCCCCTTCACAAGTATCTTGTCCGACACCTGATCCTGCACAAGACAACCATCACGAGAAAAATGAACATTATAGTTATTATCAACCAATTGCCCGACTGAAATAAGATTGGTAGAAAGTTAAGGAGATACAAAAACATCTCCAATAGTGGAATCAACATCCCTAATAGCATGAATAGGTAACTGACAACCGTTAGTAATCTGAATATGTGTTGATCCAGTATAAGTTCAAACATTGCTAAGAGTATTAGAAGACCTAGTCATGTGATTAGATGCACCCGAATCAATAATCCATGAGGGAGAAAGCGAACTGTTACCCTGCAGTCCTAAGGCTGAAAATACGGAAATAATCATCTGTTGTACCTTCTCAGTAGCAAGAGCAGAGGAATCACTAGTAGTAGCAGAAGAAGCGGAATCCACAGTAGCCTGATAAGCATTGGCCTGACGATTCTGGGGACGAGTAGGACATTCTTTGATAATATGCCCCGACTTCTTATAGTAGTTGCAAGATTTCCATGCATAGTTGATAGCAATATGCCTGTATTCCTTACAGTTGAAGCATTGAACTTTTCTCATGTCTCGTCCCTTGCCTTTTCCTTAAGCAACATAAGCCACTGCATTGGATATCATTTTGTCGTGCTGATAAGTGGCCTGGGTGGTAAGTCGTTGCTCCTCACGAAGTAACTCCCCAAAACAGACATCCAAAGATGGCATGGGATTGCGATTCATCAAATTAGAGCAAGTGGCTTCAAATTCAGGTCGTAACTTCATTAAAAATTGATCTTGCTTGCTTTGCGCATGAATTTCCTGCACAACTGAGAGAGATTCTTCCGGTACTTTGACATAAATAATGTCAGTAAATTCTGCCCAGATATTATTAAATCCAAAAAAAAAATCTTGAATGGAGAGATCTCCTTGAGTATAACTAGCAATCTCGTACTCTAATTGAGAACGTCGAGCAATATTATCTTGATTATATACTTTTTTTAAGTATTCCCACATAGATTTAGCAGTCACATATAACCTTAGATTAAGAACAATAATAGGATCCATTGATCCTAAAATCCATGTCATCACCTGAGCATCTTTGGTCTGCCACTGAGTCAGTTTAGAAACATCAGTAGGAGCTTTATCACTCCCATCAATATGACCCCATAACTCTTTCCCCATAACAAATAAATGAAATTGAAATTCCCAAGCAGAATAGTTCTTACCCGTGAATTTCACTGCAAAAGAATCAGAAGACATGATAGCCAAATTAAACACTAAAAAGATAGCCAATAACCAACCCAAGAACAATCCCAAACAGTAGCAGCCAAACAATTTCAGAAAATAACTGGTAATGATGCCTGCCCAAAAGTTGAACCCCAAACCACCCCTGAAGAGATCGACCACCACCAAGGAACCACCAGAAACTGCCGACTAATGCAACAAACCACCAGAAATTGCTGACAACCTCAGAACCAAAGGTGCACTACAAAGAAAACCCACCCAGAATGCGCCGAAAAAAAAAAAAAAAAAAAAAAAAAAAAAAAACCTAAGAGACACTTAGACAGTGTCGAAAATACCAAGGAGCCCCAAAAACAACTCTAGACAGCAACGATGAGGAAGCCCAACGTGACCCAAAGACATCGAAAAGAAAAAAAACAGAAACCCACATGAGAAAGGTTTGTAACTTAAGAACTTGGCTTTGATACCATGTCAATTGGATTCAATGTCCTCTTCGTGAGGATTTCTTCTCATTATATAGGCACAAATGCTCAATATACAAGGCTAGAATCAAGCCTAAATTACAGCAGAAATATCTGATATATGTACAACTGGTGAAAACAAATTAAGGAAACATGGATCGTATCATGGTGACACTCGAAACCCAGTATTCTTTCCATCCCCTATGATTGAGGAAGTGTAGGGTTAACAGCAAATTCTGCTTGCTCGATATTTATAATTTTACTGTCGATGTACTAGCATACATTCTAGATCGTAGTACGTCGACGGTAAAAGATATTTATAAATGTATTTTATAAGCTAACCGTGGGGTGGCATACTAAAGATGAACAATGTAGTCATTAGTTTTGAAATACGAAATTTTAACAGTTTCTGAAATCGAGTTTGATTGAGATGGGACATGGTGTAATTTGATGCTTTGTATTTCCTTATGACTTTTGTGAATTGTGTTTATATGCAGGGGGGTAGTGAAAGTTTATAAATCTTGGCTACATGATGCTGGAGGATTCAGAATCTATACATTCACGATACACTTGAAGGCTTGAAGACATAATGTACATTCTTAGAGTCTTTTTCTATAATCCTTTACATTTGTGTGTTATTATTTTTAATGTTAATATAGTTTTTATATGACAAATATGAACGACTTTATTCAGTCAAGTCCTGAATTTTGAAATACTAGGCTTTACCTTCGTCGAATTTAACAAACGGTTTACATAATCTTTTAAATGGGAGGAACTTTTCTATTTAAAGATTAGAATTCTCTCGCTTTGATATTTTTTAGAGTTAATAACTTGCACCCCGGAAACTCAAGAAAACTTGCCTTAGACCTCTCAATTATCAGAAACTACTACGGAGACCCCCTGTCATCTATTTTTGCAGTAAAACTCCAGCTTAATGAATAGTAGCGTGGTCGCCCTACTAAATCCTATTTTCTAGCACTTTGGATTTTTGTTTTTCATATAAGCCTCAAGGAATTAAACTTTCCATGGACATAGAGCATTTACCAAAGCTGTGGGAATTAGAGTAGTTTTGTAAGCGACAGGAAAGTAAGTTTATAAGTATCAACATTCATTATCTTCAAATTTCTAAATTCTTTAGGCGATTACTTGAAATATTAATATGTTGGAGGAAATTAGTATTACAGGATCTCATGGACAAATCTTCAAGAAAGAGAAATTTTGAGATCAAGTGAACACGTCTAAATTTTAACTTCTTCAAATGTGTACACCCAACTAGGTTAATTATCGGTGGCCTTCACTGAAAAATGAATTTTAGGGTTGACTGTTAGAAATCATTATGAATTCTGCATACCGCTAATGTTATTAAGACTTCTGATGTATGTGCCATTAAAGATTTAGGAGTGATATGCATATATTAATTGATGCAAAAGAAAGTAAAGGATTTGTTCCATTTTTTTGGAGCGAAGTCTTACATTAAAGATTTAGGAGTAATATGCATATATTAATAGATGCAAAACAGTGTGAAAAATTAATCTTAAGTGCCACATTTTTCTTGAAATAGAAAGTAAGGGATTTGTTCTATTTTTTGCCTAACCAAAAAGCTGGGATTATTAATGATTGAATCCCTTCTCAGTATTAAATAAAAGAATAAAAAAAAATTCCAAATATACAACAAATCAGAAATGCTTGCTCATAAATTTTACCAAAAAAAAAAAAGAAAGAAAGAAATAGAACCTATATGAAGAACAAAGCTTCCTGAAAGCCTTACCAGTACTAAAGCTGAGCCTTCTGCAAAATTTTGATGAGATTTACAAAAAAAATAAAAAATGCAAATGAAAATAACAAACAAGCCGCCATATCTGTAAATGGAAATTAATTTATACGTATGGGTTTAGGTCAGAAGAGCCTTCTAGTTCTAGTTCACTTCTTGGGCACTGTGGGACTTGAAACCGAGGGAGACAAGTAAAAAGAATATTACAGAGATTTTTTTTTTTCTATATCACAATTACTGGAAAATCATCAGGCAAAGAATGTAACGTATGCTTGCCAAATCTTTAATGGCACCGCAATTTCCCATGTATTGTTGATTTGTAGTCTACCTAAAACGGCCCGAAAAAGGGAAAAAAAAAATATAAATTGAAGATATGCCATTTACAAAGGAGTTTCTGAATTAGAGATTACCGGTCAGGTGGAGATGGTATAATGAGCAGAATGGAAGTGACTGACAGAGGAAGTTTAGTGAGATGAGCTGTTACAAACTCGTCTTTCTTCTTATACCAGTTGGGACACCGTAGCATACTGGCGAAGCCCCGATCAAGAAAGGGAGTTGGCATGCATTGCGAGCTTGCCCCATGAACGATCCAAGCTTTGGTCTATGATCATGACCACTCTTACATGTTCCATTACCTGAAGATTCAGGTGGTTTCTTCCTTGAGATTTTCTTCTTATTACCTTTACCCGTTTCGTTCTTGGGGTCATGCTCTTCCACAACTGAAATGGATTGGTCAGAATCCACAGAAACATTCGATCTTTCTCTCAACCAACCATCAAGCATGGCCTTTGCGAATCGATCAATATCCTTATCTGTCACATCCCATAGATTGGCAAAAATCACCGGAGACCCTGCTTGCAGATAGGATAAAGGAGTGCCAGATGGTGCATAACACCCATTTAATGACAGAGAACCACTACTGCATCCCATCAGGAGAGTCGCGGCACATTTTTCCAGCTTCTGTACATGATGCCATTTAATGTACTGTGACCCTGTACCAACAGAAAGACAGAGTTCAACAATTGACATCAGTACAAGGAAAATCTGTTATATAAAACAACAGCAAGACCAGGCATGAAAGGAAAAACTAGTGTCATTAGCACATTAAATCGATTTAGCATACCACTTCCATGGCCGAAATATATATAGAGATCATGATTTTTCAAGGCTACTGCCAATTCTTCAGCTGTAGGTGCAGATCCAGCCTTTCCCTGTAATTGACTCGCATGAAAACATAAATCATTAACAATATATTATATAGTATGATGAGAATAAGACGTGCATGAATGAGTACATGTTTATGTGTGCGTAAAAAAATGCAGTGCAAATACATATACAATTTTATTTGAACATCTGGGCTTTCTATCAACTAAAAGCAATGTGAGAGATACCTCCAAATTTTGATCCCGAAACCAGTCCTCAAACTTAACTTGTGTGTAGCTGAGATCCCCGCTGGGATTTAACAAATAAAAAGCATCCAACGGATCTATCTTAGGAAAGGTAGCAACAAGCTTCCTGACTTGCTCTTGGTGGTGGATTCTTTCAAGTGCTACAAATATGCTACCAACTGAAGGCATGCGATAAACCTCTTCCTTTCTCAATATTGGTATATTCTCCCACGGAAGCATCTGCACATTGCAGCAATTAAATCAAGTTTAAATATAGTGTTTAATAAAGGAAATATCATCATTGTCTCCAATTGATGCCAAAAATTTTTTTCAGATCAGACCTGATCCAGAAATGTATTAAATGCTTAAGTCACCTATGCTGGAGCAACATATATATATATGGAGCATAGTTTTGGGACGGATCTGAACAAAATTATTTTAAGACCCTATAAACCTCTACACAAACCTATCCTTTATAAGATACCGATTAATAATATAGAAGAATTTGATAACTGAACTCACTATATCAGATTCATGAACTGATATAATTCAATTAAACAACCATCCAAATAAACAGACTTATTGAAAATATGAACAGCCAAAAATAATACCAATGTAAATATAGAGGATAAAAAGTTCAAAGCCTTACCTGTACTTCACAATCCAGCACTAGAATTGTAGGTTCTCTGTTTACAGATTCCTCTGCTTCTAGTTCCTTTAAGGCTTCATCTATTAGTTGGAAGGCCAACTCCGACAGCTTATCAACTCCATTTGACACCTTGGATGATCTCCTACAATTATTGTTATCATAATATCCAAATGTCCCAATGCAGCAACCTTTCTTGGAAAACAGCTGTGCCATATTTTCCTCTCTCTTATAACCACTCTTCAAACCTCCAAGAACAACTCTAAGAAGACTTTCATTTACGTCAACTTTGCATTTAATTTTTAGATCACGTGCCAGTTTCTTAAGTATTTTGTCCAGATTCTTGCAGTTTGACCATTCTCCAAGAAACATGTATTTCCAGTGACCCAACCATGAATCTTCTACTTTCCTGGAGCACAAGAACATAAAATCATGCGACAATCAACCATTATATGAGTCCCAAACACTGAATATTCAAAACCTAAGATAAAACCATGAACCACTGTAGCTGGCACAAAAGGTTCTCTCATCGAATTTCAACAGCTATTATAGCTATCTACCAATATATCATTTGCTACAACAGTTTTTGGAACAAAATTAAGTTTTTTGCTTTTAGGCTTTAGTCTCCAAGGAATTTCAAGAAACATCATTCCTCTTTGTTCATCTTAATTGGGAAGGGGTTATGAGTTAATCTTTGAGGACTGTCTTAGATACCAGGGTATTTGTTTTTAAAAGTGTCAGAGTAATAGAAATCTGTATATGACTTTCGTATGTTTTGAGTTGACATATTTACAATCTCCTATTTTATTTATCTTAATCTAATTTCTTAGTTTCTTACTAAAAAGCAAAAAGGTGAGGATAACAAGGAAAGAGAATTTTGGAGTGAGGACAGAGAATTTTGGAGTGAGGACAGAGAATTTATGTTAATTACCATGTTATATATTAATTTCCATGACATCATGCAAGCTATTGTTAATTACTTTTGGATAGAAGGTATTCGACATCAGCAACAATCTTCATAATTCAATCTGCATTTATCCACTAAATCTATCATAATTCAAGGGTTTAGAAAATTGTTGGTTGTTAATCCTAAATGCTACTTTTCCACTTTAGATCTGTTGGATTAAAATAAATAAATTCTTAGGAGTTTGTACCAAGAGAGAGGTTACCTCAGCAATTCACCAAGTCGGTGATCAAGCTTTTTTCTCTGCATCCACCATAAAGACCTATTCCTTTCTGTATCTTGTGGAAAAGACATTAAGTAGCTCTCTTTCAATATCGATTGAAAAGCTGGAGCTACATCATCAACTACAGTGGAACCCCAGGGGCAGTGCCAATGTTTACCACAATCGTTGCTTTCATACAATTCCTCAAAACCAAAATTTGCATTGTTATCATCATCTGAAGCCTCTGGTCAAATAATTATATATAAACTCAGATACATTTTGTGTATTTATAGTGCCCAGGCTACCCAAGACACATAAAGCAATGTACCTTCTAGTACAGTATTTACTGGCAGAAGTACAACAATAGGTTGACTCTTAGAATTCAAGCGTGACAACAGCATCCAAGCATGAACAGGTGAAGGAAAAAGTAGCAGTTCTTGTAGTAAACTAGCATAAGCACCCTCAAGCAAAGTTACACACATAACTGTGGCACAAGGAAGGCCCACAAAAAAGTCTTTCACAAATTGTTCAAGATCTTTCATAGATTCAGGAGCAAAACTGCAGCAGATAAGAAATGAAGACAGTTTTAGCAAGAGTGACCTGAAAAATGTGCGTGCACACATTCTAGAAGTGCAGCATATCAGACCTGAGTAAATTGCTTGTTTCTGCCCCAATGTGTGATGAGCTGGTTACATGCGTGCTCTGCAAATGGCATTACCGTAATAAACTAATGAATATGTCCAAAATTCAAGGAAATCTAGAAACATTATGTGGATTTTGATTCAAGGTATTTAGTAGGGCACTAATTAAAAAATAACATGTGCAGAAATGAAAAATAGAAGGGAAAGATGACATTCTTTTGCCAGGCAAGGGTCTAATGGCCTACGATTTAAGCAATCATACAGATAATAAAAGACAGTACTGCAAACATCTTGCAAAATGCAATACAATTAATGTATGTATGCATTCTTCCTTTTGGAAGGTCTCAGTGCCAATTAAATTTTAAAATTTGAACTATAATATTATTTAACTTACGAAAATTGTCCATGCTAAAAAAGATTTAAACTTATATATCAAAAGGATAGGTAGCTTCAAAAATAAATAAATAAATTTTAAAGATGTACAAAAATTTTGGGAAAATGGGACTAGTAAATTGCATGCTTACCTCAACATCCAGAAGGAGTTGGCCTTTATATCTGCAACTTATGTTTGATAGGAACTGGTAATTAAGATGAGTACCAAGTGAAGCTTGATGGAAAAAAGAAGCCCAATGACTTTCAGATAGTACTTTGCAAGAAGATGAAAGAGAAAAAAGCTTGCTTGAAGAAGAAAATATAAACACAACAGCAAGCAATCTAGAAACCTGTTATATTTATGAGAAAGATAAAAAAAAATTATCATCAGCAAGAATTACATAGAAGGCAAGATGTAAAGGAAGAGAACAAGAGAGTAACAGTGATCATTATATATACCAACTTAAAATGGAGCACTCTTAAGAAGTCGTTAATGCTAAAATCATGACAAAAACAGGTGTTCTCATATGAAACAATCAGAAGAATGCCTCTTCTGAAAATTTTAAGCATGTTTGATGATGTGGCATATAGCAATTAGAAAGCAAGGTTCTAACCTTCTGAAAAAGAATGGGAACCTCACGGCAGAGCACAAAGGCTATCATCAACCAAGGAACTATTTTCTGCAACTGAATGTGAGACAAATCACAGCAAATATTCCTGCTGAACAAAATAAACCAAGCAAAAGGCAAAGGAATTAATTGCTCACAAAATAGGCTTATAAAGGAGCTATTGGGGCTGAATCAATTATGAAATGTCTACTTGTTAATAAATAATATATTGGTGATGGTTATAACTTCTCCAACTATTACACCAAAAATGGTCTTCTTTGATGGTGTTATCAGAAGAAATTGAGAAAGATGATCCCTTCTAAATTATAAATTAAAATATAGAAAACAACTTCCTCTTAAAATGGATAGAAAAGAGACAAATTAGTAGCTAGAGTTAAATACCTTGTTTTCGTAGAATGGTAATCCTTCAAAGACAACCAACAAATGTTGTAAAGTACAGCCGCACGCTCAACAGCAAAAACATCTCCTGAGTACTCCTTACCAATTAAATCAAGAAGAAATGTTGGAGGAAGAGAAGAATGGGTATGGCAGAATGAGTTTCCGCTGAATAGGACAGATAGGCTTTGTGAAATAATTTCATGTGCCTCGTGAACTTGATCATGATTTCCTAAGCATTTTCCTGAAATAGTTGAAAGATATATATCAAGAAGGAATAAAGACAATGACCTTAGCATACGGAAATGATTATGATTTGGTCCATTATCTGGGAAAGGAAACAAACAAAAGCATTTCATAACCACACATTAGCACAAGTGTCCACATGAACATGTGGGAGTGGATGTGTGTGCGTATATCTGTTTGTACAGACATCATCGTCACCTCTTATGCATGTTTTCCAGTCTTGCCTTCACTCTCCCACTGTCATACCTGACAATAAATTGTCATGGTGTGTATGCCAAATCACATAAACAACACAACTACCTTTACTTTTGTAAACTTGGTCATCATTGATTTCTCAACATTACCTGGAAAATTCAATTTTGTTTGTGGTACAGCCGTACAGGCAAGAAAAAAGGGTACGATCATTTGTGAAAAGGAATAAAACATGGTAACATCATTAGCTATTACAGATAAACAGTCACTTTTAAGTACTCAGTACTCATCCGGGTAGCTTTACTATGACGTGCATACAAAGGGACATCCAATATAATGATTGCACATGCATCCTCTTGCTAAGAGAGCTTATTCAGGTATATACTGTACACAAATAAATATGAAAAAACCTATTACCATTCATTGAACTGCGACAAAAAATTAAGGCTGAAATGATTCTCATTATACAGCATGACATTCTTCGACAACCTAATACCATATTGGAAAATCTCTAAAATTTGGACAGAAACCACAGTAACATTGCACCATACTGTTTATAAACCATAATTTTCAAATATCCTTTAAAGTCTAAACCAAACGCATGCAAATACAAGATATGTCACTAAAACTACATAAAAGAATTGATTAAAAAAATATTCTAGATTGACAAAAAATACATGAAACTTCCTAGTTTGACAAAATCAATAAACAAATTGAAATCTAGTTACGATTAATTTACAATTTCAAGCAAAAAAAATATAATACTAATAATCAAAATCAAAAACCTAAATACTCCAAACATTTTAAACTCCTCTCTTTATCTGACGGCATTTGTTGCATATATATTAAAAATTATTTTCAAATTAGTTCCATTATGTACTCCTATTTTGGTAGGCATTCACCTCCACTAGCCCAATCATTTCATTCTAAAACTCCTAAAGGATTACCTCTTTAGTTTAACTAATCTTGAAGAAATATGTACATTATACTAAGACAATCTTGACCATGGAGACTATGTATCTATGTGTATATCGAAAGCAAATTAAATACAGTTTTCAAACAAGAAAGAGTTACAAAACCGCTTTTATTTGACATATAGGCACTTTCAGTTCTTTAAAATTTAAATATTATAAAGTTCTGTCACTTTTTCGTATTTTCCTCTAAGAATGAATCATGGCTTATATCTAATGTCTTGTGTGCAAGGTTCGTAGCATAAACAATTACAGCAAATTTATAATCTGCGGTAGCAACCATACCTATGCCAGTAAGTACTCTCAGTGAAAGACGCCTGCGAATAAATTCCCACTTTATATGTACAAAATTGTCTAGTAACCCAGATTCAATAACTTCCACACGAAGGCATTTCCAACACTTCATTTTATTGCAAATGCAAGTAGCTTCACACCCAGTATCAACAATACAACTTTTTGTCTCCAAGACTGACTCCCTTTGACTAAGAGGATTTGAAAAATCAGATGAAGTGTTGCCTTTGGTATGTTTTGAAAGGCCTGCTTGCACCTCAATGGAACCATTTACACATTGGTTTTGAGAAGATCGGTATTTGGAACGCGTAATCCTTGAATTGGACTCAGGTATCAAAGATTGATCTTTTAGCAAGGTTGTTGGTGCATTCTTCAGCTTTCTAGACTTTTTCCCCTCCATCTTGGCAACTGACCCATCCCTTGTAAGAATTTCCATTGTATCTGGATAATATATGGAAGAATCAGAAAATGTATTGCTAGCCACATATTAATGATTTTGTACAAAAGGTTTCTTAAGAAATATACTCTCAGAGCTTTCTCCTTCAGGAAAACTGATTGAATTTTTCCACTCAGAAAGATTTAGTTTGTCTAACGCAGATTTGTAAATATTTTCAGCATGAGATAATCTTTCCATCGAAGTATTCCCAGTAGCACCATCAAAGAGGCTGCGGGATAAATCACCAAGTTGCTGATCAACAGTGACTTCCAGCATCAATCTGCACTTTGAGCAGGAGAAATTCTTGCCACTCTCCACCAATATCTGTTTAGCACTTTTAAGTTCTTTTTCTGCCAGATCCCAATGCTGTTTCTTACGGTATAGTTTACCTAATCATATTTAAAAGTAAAAAGTAAGCTAAAAAATGTGTTTCTTTCTTAGAGAATAAAAAATAGTCAGACAAGCATTTATAAATAGGGACTTATACTGGTTAAATTCCATACCTAGGACAGATGAAAAGGCAACTATAAATAGTGGCAAACTTTGTAAGTAGGAGATGCTTTTTCCCCATAGTAAGAAGCTTTCAGCCTCAGTGCCATTTCCAACTAATTCATGGACAATTCCAACCTGATTGTGGAAGGACAAAGAACCAACTCACAATATTAAAAATAAAGAAGGGGTCTCTGCGGAGTAAAAATTAGAACATTGATTGGAAAATTGATGAACCAGAGAAGATAAGCCAAACCTGGAGAGTGCTTTCAAGATAACATTGTAGGACATTCCATGGACTAAGATAACAATCATCCACATTCCACGAAGTAACATCAAAAGACCAAACTTGACTAGTAATAGATCTGGTTACTTGGAAATCTTTACAAGCATAAGTTAGCTTCTGCATGAGGTCCCCTGCTTCATGCTTTTCAACCTGCCGGTCACTAGAATATGAAAATTTCTCTTGAAAGAGTTGAGTACGAAGTCGGTGGGCCTCTTTGGCATATGAAAGAGCCTAAATTATAAGTAAAACTTGTTAGAAAAGTCATTTGGAAAAAATTAATAAAAGTGATAAATATAATGACGCCAATAAGTTTCCACATGAAACTTGTGAAATTGAAGATGGAAACATATCTAAGAATTCAAAACCAATCAATAACTTTCAGGAAATTTTAATAATTGGAACAACTCAAAAAAATTTAAACCAAAAAGGAAAAAAGAACTGTTGTCATTGTAATCATGATCCCAAAACCTGTTTCAACTTGTTATTCTACTTTTATTTGTAAGGCAAAAGAAACTACAGGGGAAAAATATACGATCCCTCTAAATGATGCAGAATCAAAATTTTACTAGTAAATTTATGCAATATATTGTTCTTGGAATTTAGAGATAAGTCCTATTATTAATTTTTAGATTAATTGTAGTTCAGATTAGTTTCTCCTATTTGAGTAGGGTATAAACGTCAGGAGTCAATTTATTATTCTTTTATTTTATTTTTATTTTTTTGGGGTGCTTTTAGGACATCGCCATCCACTATAGAGGACTTAAGCTATTAGTTTTCACCACACTCTCTTTGCTTCAACACCTACCCCCTTCCTCTTCCTCTCTACTCTCGTTTTCTACATTCTTACTGCTCTCTCTCCTTTATTTTCCCTCTCTGTCCTCTCTCTTATTTTTAGCCTTAGTCATGAAAGACCCGAATTGTATATGGATGAGACATGCTATGCTGAAAAGTAAGAACTTAGGCCCAAAACTAATAAACAAGAAAAGGTAGTCAATCATACTACTCTATAAGCTAAACCAATAGTGGCATTTTTTCATTAATTCAATGAACATGAAATCCAAAATCCAAACTTCCAAAGTAGATTCTTTTTGGCCATAACAGAAATATATGGAATCCAAAAACAGTAGTATAATATGTAAGGTTTAAAATAGGTTAGAAGGTTCCAGTCTAGAAGTTTTGAACAAAAATGCAAAACAAAAACTGTGACAAAAAGAATCAAACATTTGTAACTATTTAAAAAAAAAAAATTCCACTCTAAGAAAGATACAATCTCAACACCATTGTCATGTAGCGAAAATTGAAAACAACAAACAACAAACCAACACATACAAGCACATAAGTATTAGTCTTTTGGCAGCATCCATTTGAAATTAGTCAAATTTGCACTTAGACGCTTTACAATCATCCAATTTTCAATTTGCTTGCCACTAAGCCTTTATAAGAGGAAAAAAGGGGAAGCCCTATCCTAATGTGATCACAAAAAGTTAAACTCAGATCAACAGCATAATAGGGAATTACATAAAAATTCATAAAATAATGGAGTCATACATAGATGTCCCACACATATGAAATAAAGGACTAGCGCTTCCACTCCTCTTGACGAGTGTTGGAACTACTTAGACAAGTCAGAAACAGACATGCAACCATAGATAGAAAAATTACATCTATTTTCTAGATCTCATGCACAACATCTTTTCAGAAAGAAAAAATCTTCAGGTAACACAAATTTGAAAGTAAATCTAACGCTGGTTACCTCAAACAGTTGTCCCTTTGCAGTGAGTCTTTCACACAAGTCATAGTAGAGATATCCAACAAGGAAAACAGAACGAGGGGGTAGAGAAACCTATAAGGACATTGACACTTTACATCAATAAGATACCACAAAGAAGAGATCAATAAACAAATGGTGCTAATTGGGAAAATCTTACGCTTGAAATGAGTTCAGAAGCAGCCTCTTTCACATCAGCAATTGTGATGTATGGTTGATTAGGACTTTCACAAATATCAGCAAATAAAAGTGAGAGATTCTGTTGGAATCCAACTACTAATGGTTGAGATTCCTTTAAACAGCATACCCAAAAATCAATAGACTTGGAAATTTCACCACATTGCTCTGCTAAGTTCATGAGAAACCCCTCATTTACAGGTGAAATGCAAAGAGCATGACTAAGCCTTCTACTTTCCCAAAAAATGGACAAGCACTTTTCCAATGGAACATTCTTCCATTTTAAAAATCTAATCATCAGTTTATATAAGACATTGTGAATTTCCATACAACCCTGATAATACAAAAGAAGATAAGGTAATGTCAAAAATCAAGAACACTATGCTTCATTGCCAACCAACATCATCCAACCAGCTCACAAGCTTACCTTCACTGATAACAGATCACCTACATTATACAATAGTAGCATTGTATTCTCCGTGACTATATTGCACTCGTCATTTGTAGAGCAAATGGATATGGTCAACCATTGATTTAAGGCAGAATCAATATCTTTGATGACTTGCTGTTTACAACAAAAACCAAGCATTAATTCAGTCAAAACAAATACTTCAAATCCAAATTTATCCATGGTTACCAACTGAACACACAAAACAATTAAGCATTAATTACTCAATCCTGGGGACTAGCCTTTTATGCATCAATACCTTAGAGTTTGGTTCAGCTTCCTGGGTACATAGAGCACGTAAGCAATATGCCACAGCTAACAGATGACAAAGCAAAGTTTCACGTCTACATATGTCTTCATACATGTCATTCTGTTTCAAAGACTATTTCCAGTTAATCATAAATTCAACTCAAAAAGACAAGAATTCACAACTAAATGGTATCCGCTGGGTAGAAATGAGAGACAGAAAATGAACTAAGTAAATCACATAAACGATATTGCTTCTGACAAGCAGTGGAATACAATCCTTCAAATATTCCCTTCCATGGCCCTTAATGTCCTTGCTTTTTTGAGTAAAATTCTTGATTTCTGAACCACTATCTTCTGTATGTACACGTTTTGCAAAAGGATACTATAATTTTCATTTGCCTTCTTTGACACAACTCTGGGCCCAAGGGATTCATTTCTTCATATGCATGAAGCTCCTAAAAGTTGGAGAACATAAATGGACGGTAAACAAACTATTGGTATCTAACAAGAAGCATTATAACAAAAAGTCCTGAAATAAATATATAACATCCTACAAAGGGACCAAACCTGCTTAAAATGATGCCAGTGTCTTCTTTGAACATTCCAGAAGATGACAGCAAACTGTATAAAGATGGAGCAACATCTCTACATCTACATTCTCACGAAGTTTACATACTATCTGACAATCAATCAACAATCAGGCTATAGATAAACAGAAAATATAGTGAAGATACTTGGAGGGTTTCTCACAGGTTACCTTAACCCAATTTTTCACCAAAGGCATAGGACCTGGCAGCACTCTAAACAAATGCAGCAACAGACCAATTTCAAGACTCTCAACAATTACTTTTTTCACTTTATGACTACCAGATGATGGAGAACCTCCAAAAGGAAAGCACTTCTTGTGCATGCCTCATTAACAAAATCAACAATAGCACCTTCAGACAGATCATGAAGGGACCTGATTTCTGTATAAACAATTGTGCAAGAAGTACTACACAAGTCCATGAAGCTCTACAACTAATTTGAAACTTTGAAGCCTACAAAGACAAATCAGATGATTCATATAGACCAAACACCTTAAATGCAAAAAAAAACAGTACAAAAAATATTACAGTTCAAGTTGATTAGACAAGACAGGAAATATGTGCATGCATGTTTATCAAGAATGAATCTTTCCCTATCTCTACGTGGATCTCGATGATGATAAATCTAAGTCAGTCATTAATTCTCTTTTCAGGGCTCAAATCTACTGCATCCTCATTGTCCATGTTCACATTGATCTATCTTTCCATCCCTCTTCCTGTTCTATTTCATACATGTATTAAAAAATTGAAAAATTATCCTTTCTTTCTTACTTTTCTCAGTGAGAGGTTCCAGATTCAACTAAAATTGCAATTACCTATTGTAACACAAAACCCAGACTAATAGTGGTTGGAAAGTGTAGACAGGAATTGAAGTTTCTGTAAGCTAGAAAAATTTGCTTCTTTGATACTATTCACTACTTCTAAGACCAGAAATGCTTTATAAGATCATCAAAATAATATATTGATCAGTGAAAATATCTAAAAGCCACAAGGAGGCATGAACTGCTATTACTGTATTCTCTTTCAGGGCTTAACTAACAGTCCATACATGAAGTACCAAAAATTTGGAAGCCTTTGTGAAGAGTTGAGCTTAAATCTAGTAACTAAGGGTTGATCTTATACCTATCAATTTACCAGCAAATTGATTTTGTACTCTATCCTGGCAGCAGCAGCAAGCATGAGCAGTTTCAGAAAAGGATACCAAACAAAATTCTGAAATAGTAATATTCTGATTAACAACCAAAGTAAATTTCAATGTATGCACAAACAATGTTAAGAAAATAAACAGAAGAACAAAGAACCATAAAGCATAAAAAAAAAAAAAACAAAAACAAAAAAAAAAAAAAAAAAAAAGCGCTACTATGGTAGCCATTTCTTTGTATCCCAAGAGCCAAAACAACATAACTTCGAAGTGAAATAGTTCAAACTTGAAACAAACAATCATTCATAACAAGCCACCAAACTGAGACCAAAAAAAAACTTTGCAAATTAACCTAACAATAAAGTGATATTGTTTTTCATTCTTGTAAACTAGATCATGATTTTGAGGGGAAAAAACTAACATCATAAAGAATACTAATCAAAAGCACATTGCTTCATGAAGTTACCTCTTTCACTTGCTTATTTTTGTACAGAGATACACCAATATTGTAAAGAGAGGCATAAACATATTTTAGTCCCTGAGGTTCAATCCATTCACTGGCAATGATGTTCTTAATTAGACGAGAACTCTTCTGGAAAAGAAAAAGAAAAGCCAATGAATAATTTGGAAGAATATATACTACTTCATTCCTGCAATGATTACAAAAACGAAGTTTGCATCAACTGACCAAATTTCAGCCATCTTAAAATCACAGAGTAAGAACACCACCTTCATCTTACAATTTGTTCTGATTGAAAGAATAAAAGCAGCCACAGTCACAGTAAGTACTGTCTTGTTATCATCAAATCCATCTTTGTCTCTTTCAGATGTATAGCTGCACATAGAAACAAGAAAAAGTTTCAAGATTTGTAGACACACTCAAGAATGTGACAAAAGATCTCAAGTATTGATTTCCAAATATTGACCTACACCAGTTTCAGCATTATCCATAACTTGGAATAATTTCATACTCAAGACTGCTACCATGTATCATCATTATTTCTTTATTCTTTTTTCTTGCAAAAATGTTATAGAACTGGCCTTTCGAGACTCTTTCATCTAGGTCTTAAAAAGAGTACCAGATTAAAAAAAAAATATATCGGAAATTATTCCTAGCATCAACAGCAGTTGATTAGTAGAAGTAGTAAATTTAACCCAGAAGGCAAAATTAAGATCCATTTTACAGACCATCACCATCCTATTTTGTCATTTGAAAACCAAAGTTTTTAATATTAAATGCACACTAGAACTCTTTTGGTGCACAAATAGCTCCATTTATAGCCATAAAAGCAAACAAATGTTGATATGGGACATCAGAATTCACTTGCCTGTGCCAAAAAAGAAAAGCATCAGAAAGCTGATAAAACGCATCCTGAATACTGCAGAGCTGTTCATGACCCGGAGTACTTTCAATTTCAGAAACTATCTCTTTTTTCTCTGAATTAATTTGCTCAGCAAGTGGCTGGCACAAGAATTTCAATGCATTTAAGTAAGACAGCATAAAATCCTCTCTATTTTTCTGCATCAAAGTTATAGTAGATGCCTCATGATTAGAATTTGTCGGTAAACATATTTGACTGAAAGACCCCTCATATTCAACTCTAGATGACACACAATTCTCTTTGCAGCAAACAGAAAAGTAACTTCCCAATGAACCAAGCAAAGTGGCCAATTTGTGTAGTCTGTCTTCATCATTAAGCAAAATTCTGATTGCAAACTCCTTTTTCGCACCTCTAGAGGAAGTCAAATCACCACCAGTGCCATAGTTGGTAAAGTACAACCCAGCAGCATAAAGCCTTAAAATCAAATCAACAGGTGTCATAACCTGCCAATTGAGTTTAACTTTAAATTAACGTACAAAAATATCTTCACTAAACAATGGTATGGCATACCATGCTATAAGACCCATAAATAGCAGAACAAGATACCTGAGGTAAGTCACCTGCTATGTTATCTAGATGTCCTGCAACAGTACCACAAAAAAATGTACATGTGGCACGACATTTGTAGGCACAATACGATACGAGTTCAACCAGCTCAATTCCACTGTTACCTAATTCAACCTGCCAAAAATTAAGTACTAATGTTGCAATCACTCTGGGATTTGAATTAATAATGTTGCATCAAGTAAAATATAGAAACCAGCATATTGTCCCAACTTAAAACCCATAACATAAAAGGGCCAAAGCATGCTCTCTCATGTGTCATACAGTTAACTTGATGAAGAAGAAACCCCAAGGAATGAAAAACTGAAGGACCATACAATCAGAATGAAAAGTAAAGTACCATACGGTTAGAATAAGAAAACTTTTCAGGAATGAGACATCTAACACAACAAGAGAGCAATGAAGAAGATGATATAATTCAAAGAAGGTAAGGATATCATCCAAGCATCAATATCCTTAAACATCTTTCGCTATTCAATCAAATTCATATAGCAATTAGATTTAGATGTCTTACTAAAATGCAAAGTAGATATCTAAATAAGGGCAAATTTTCTCCTACATCTTGAAAGAATGTATTCCCTATAGCCTCAATCATACAAACAACCCTAATGAGAGACATTTTCTAGACTCAGTCCCACATAACCAAAATAAGACTTAAGAAATGTCAGCAAACATTCATGCAATACCAAGAAAAGTGGGTAAATTATCATGTTCATTATACCTATATTGTACCATATTATTGAATAGAATTCACAAGTATTGTGAAGATAAATCATAGAAAGAAGTAATGCTAGAGTTACTTTACATGACAGCAGATGCATTATTTAAGCACATTTCTTAACAGTTAAGAATCTTCTCGTTATAAGACTGCTTTACTTTACCTTGCAGTGAGAGGCAACAGAATCCAAGACACAAAGTATTATTTCGATGATAACCGAGTGCTTATTCTCCTTTAGTGAAAACAGAGATGCACATATCCAGCGAGAGAACTGCACATGGTAGATCAATTACAACATTTTCTAAATATATATATAATACTGTAGCTGGGAAGTAAACTAATTACCTTGTAAATTTGATTTTTCATTGATGCCTTTGCATACTCAGTCATTGTTGCCAAACAAAATTCACTTACAAAATTTCCATTAAAATGCATTAGCTCTCCGACCAAAAAATGAGTGCATTTACCCAGATAAGACACGAGTACCCTATGCAACTTCTCATATGCATTTGCATCTAATACCCTGAAGAATTCAAATTTCATTAAATCAATCAGTCAACTAATCATCTCAGTCTGAAGTCTTAACAACCAAAATTATTCCTTCTTACACTTGTAAACATCAACTTTTATATAATTTGGCAAGTAGCAACTAGAATTAATAACTTGTAAATCTTTAATAGACATACACAATTATCACTTTGAAACCGAAATCAATTCTTTCGTGACCTTAACAGAAGCAATTTTCAATTCACTCTCAAAAACATGAAAGGCTACATTAAAAATTGTGAGCCCAAACAACAATGATTAATGCAGGTTCAATACATATACAAAATCCCCATCTATACTAGCTAGAACCCCTTCACCGGCTCTTCTTTTCTTAAACACACAAACGCAATTTCAAGTTTAGTTTCTTCCAGTTCCAACATTACAAATCACACAATACCTACACACAAAATAAAACATTATCTTTCAAAAAACAATAACCTGAACCAGTGCCTTGCCTCTTCAACCAACCCAAGCACTCTCCTGTAAACTTCACCATCCTTCCTCTGCCTCATCGCCGCACACTTAACCATCACCACCACAACCTCCACAAACACCAACGCAAACTCCGCATCACAAGATTTTCCATCAAAATCCACACTCCTAAGCCCCTCCAAAACCCGAACCCCCTCGCTCTCTGTGTCCTCATACTTCTCCCAGGCCTCCAAGCAGCGCACTAACCTCATCCTCTGCAGCTGAATGGAGTAAGGCTTGCCCGCCAACTGCGACGACACCAAGTCCAAGCAATTTAAGCAAAGCCTATACACATCGAAGAGCTCAGACACGAGTTTTTCGTCTTTGGAATGTGCATTGGCATTGGAGATGCGTTTGGGGAGAATAGAGAGGGATTTGTTGAGGAAGGAGAGGAATTTTTTGGCGAGGGATCGAATTAGGGTTTTGTCGTGCGGATTTTTGAGATCTGATAAGGGGCGGAGATAGGAGGAGAAGAGAGAGAAGATAGGGGTTGTTGAATTACAGGATTCGAGTTTGGAAAGGAGAGAAGAATCGGTTGAAGTTGAAGATGAAGAGGCCATGACCAGAGAGAAGAAGAAGAGTGTGGAAGAAGAACGTGAAAATGAGGGAATTTTAATTTATGGGCGCCAAGAGGTTTTTCAAACTGCGACGCCTCAGGTTTGATCAAATAACATAATTTCCCTAATAAATTTCCTTGGGCCCCTTTGGTACACAATTTTTCCCTACCCTATCCCCTATGCTATCCAAAATACAATTGGTGCGTTTGGTGTAGTATTTTGGATAGGATTTTGAGGATAGTATTGCATTGTTGGATAGGGGAGTATTACGAGGTAAATTTGAAAAAATTATGAAAAAGCCCTTAGGTTTACTAATTTAATTAAAGACCCTACTATATAAAATAACAAAAACACCCCCACCACCTGCAGTGTCAGATTTCGGCCACCACCGCCGGAATCTGGCCGGAAAATTTCGTTACGGCACAAACCGATCGGATCTATGCCGTAACGCATCATTATGGCCTTTTCCGGCCAGATCCACCACGGATCTGGCCGGAAAAGGCCAGATCTACGGCCTGTTATGGCCGTCGACGGCCGGAAAGGCCAAAACGACGGCCAAAGATGTGACCGTCATTTTTGATCAATGACGGCCAAGATTTGGCCGTCGTTGACCGTCAACGACGGCCATTTCTTTGGCCGTCGCTGACGGCCAGATCGGTGTAATTCCGGCCATTTATGGTCGGAATTTAGGCCGTTGTACAGATTCCGGCTATCACCGGCGGTGGTTGCCGGAATCTGACAAGTTGGGTTGATGGGGGGGTTTTTGTTAATTTTAAAAAAAAATTCAGGGGGCATTTAGTGAAATTAATAACCTTATGGGGTCTAAAAGTAATTAAAAAAATAAGGTAATATTTCTGGAATAGTGTGCCAAACATTATTTGGAGAATAGGATTGGGAATATAGATAAAAATAGGGAGCCAAACATTTATTTCCTTACTCTCAAAATATATTCTATTTTATTCAATTCTTTTTAAACCCCTCAGGTTTGTTAATTTAACTAAACACAAAAAAAAAAAAAAAATTAGAAATTGACAAAAACACCCCCACCAACCCACATTTGCCAGATTCCGACCACCACTGTCGAAAGCTGGCCGAAACCTGGTATAATGGTGCACTACTGGTTAGATCCGGTCGGTAATGTACCGATCTAGCCGTTGACAGCCAGATCTTTGGTCATAGTCAGTCGTTGACCATCAACAACGGTCATATCTTTGGTCGTCGTTGACTACCAAATGCGGCCAGATCTGATCGTCAATGGCCAGATGTAGCCGTAAATCTGACATTTTCTGACCAAATTCATCGTGGATCTGGCCGAAAAATGCCATATTGGTGCATGACCGGCCAAATCTAGCCGGTCGTGCCCCGATACGACGACTCCGGCCACCTTGCGGAGGTGGTGGCTAGTTGTCGGTATTTAATGAGTGGGTGGGGGTGTTTTTATTAATTTTTAATATTTTATTATAGGGGTGTTTAGTAAATAAACAAACTTACGGGGTATTTTTGTTCATTTTTAAACCTACATCGTAATAACCACCCAATTTTACTTCTTTCAAAATATTATTCTAAAATGTATTAGAACAATGAACCAAGCACATCCCTTAACTTTAGGGGTGTATTGTATTCTTTGATGAACTTTATGTTTTTGATATTGTTTTTTTTTTTTTTCCCTGGAATATTGAATATAGTTGGAAAATATTAAAAAAAAAAACAGTTTGGCATGTTTGTTTAAAAACATAAAGGAAAAAATGAAAAATATATAATATTATCACTTACACCCCAATAAATCGTCTTCAATTTACCACTTACTTTGTCATCTCGAAGAATTTGTGTCAACACAAATTCAAATCGATAAAAAAGGATATACAAAAGCACTCTTCATCAATTTTAATGAAAGAAAAACAAAAACAGAAAGTCAAAATTATAAATGAACTGACTCTAATGTATCGCTAGAATTCATAATATGATAAAGTTAGTGAGTAATTTCCTAATTAACCCTCTTCCATTTATTTTAACCAAATACTCAACTATAGGTACACTTTTGTTATTACTATAACGATAAAGAATTAAAGCCATGTTTGGTTCACTATTTAGAATAATATCCTATCCAATCCTATTTAAAACATATATTTGTTTCAATATTTTCAAAATCCAATCTTATTCTATTTAACTCAAAACATTTGTATTTTTTAACCCCCTAAGTTTGTTAAGTTAACTAAACACCCTCTAACAATAAAAGTTTATAAATTGACAAAAACACCCCTACTCACCCACATAATGCTGACAGCTAACCACCACTACTGATAAGTGGTCGGAATCTATTGGAATGGCACACGACCAACTAGATGTGGCCAGTCATGCGATAATCCATGGATCTGGCCAAAAAATGCTAGATCTGGCAAACTCTAGTTGTCAACGACGGCCAAGATATTGTCTTCGTCAATGGCCAGATCATTGGCTGTAGATCCGGCTAGATCAACGCACTACTAGCTAGATCCAGTTGGTTGTGCGTCATTCCGGTGGTGGTGGCTGGTTGCCGGCATTTAATGGGTGAGTGGAGGAGTTTTTGTTAATTTTAAAACTTTTATTATATGTATGTTTAGCTAAATTAACAAATGTATAACATTAAAAAATAATCTAAATATTTTCAAAAAATGTTTTTCAAAAATTTGCCAAACACATTTTCAAATTCAAATCATATTCTCGTAATAACAAGCTAACTTAACTTTTTCAAAAATACGATTATAAATACTCTACCAAATACAACCCTGGTTTTTACTTTTGTTGATTGTTGCTAGTGGTCTTTTAGAATTAAAATAAAGAGTAAACTACTTTTCCAACCCAAGGTTTGCCTTAATGACCTTTCCCACCTAAAAAGTTTCAAAATACCATTTTCCTACCAAAGTTTACATTCTAACTAATCATTGGCCAATTTTAGCATCTTGCGACCCCACGACACCATCATTCTCTTCACTGATCACCACTCATCAAAACCCCTCAAACCTTGCTGTCGTCAACCCTGTCAATTGCCAGCAATTGAGCGATTTGTGTAATGTGCAACCACCCCTTTCCCCAAGTCAAATTCTGATTAATTTCGACCACCAAAATCCAACCTACCACCACCAAAAGACCCCCTTTTCAAAAGCCCTAACAGTCTGGACAAAAATTTATTTCTGTTGGCTGCTGAATCAGAAAATGTATTCTAGATAGTAAACGAAATATAAATTTTGGGTGGGAAAGTAGTATTTTGGAATTTTTGGCCGGGAAAGGGTTATGAAGGCAAACCTTGGGTGGGAAAGAGTCATTTACTCTTAAAATAAATAAAAGGAAAATGTTATTCTAAAATGAGAAAAAATCAATTTCCCCTCTATAGTTTTTGAAAGTTTCAGTTTTCAAGTAGCTATGAACTTTTACTAATACTTACCTCTAAAAGTAAAAAAAAAAAAAAAACAGTCAATCACCCTTTAAAACTCTAACGCCATCCAACAATCGTTAAATGAACAAGGGTAAGATAGTCTTTCAATTCCAACCTCATTTCCTTTTTTTCCTTTCTCCACCTCTTTCTGTTTTTCTCTTCTTTCTCCTCCACCATCTTCTTATTTCTCACTTCCTCCTCCCAACATTTTCTTTTTCTTAGATCCACCACCGCAAATAGCTCCATAGGGAAGCTACTATGCGTATCCAATAGCAGAGAGCATAACTCCTCCTCCCAACAATTTCTTTTTCTTAAATCCACCACTGCAAATAGCTCCATAAAGAAGCTGCTTTTCATATCCAACAACAGAGTGCACAACCAACTGTCGTTATTGCTATGCTATTAATCACCTTTTCTACCATAGAACCTGTTATGACTAAGAAATCAAAGGCTGACGTGGAGTTGCGTGACGAAACGTGGCCTGCTCCCGTCAGGACGGTAAGCGCACGTCAGGCCTGCCAAACGCCCTGGTGCTCCCACGTGTCCACTAGCCTGCTCCAAATCGCGTGAAATCAGCTTGGAAAATGGGTAATGGGACGTAAAATCAGATTAGGTCCTGACAATCACACCAACCCAAGGATTTGGTGATAATTATGCACATTCAACTGGGTATAAGAAGAGGAAGACCCCTTCATTAAGGGGATTCGACAATTTTACACAAAAAACTCTCTTTCACGCTTTTGTATCTATTTCCTAACCTTTTGTAAGTCAGTCCGCTGTCGCGACCTGACCCACACTATCAATATCAATATAAATCAGTGGACGTAGGACTTGCTACCTTAGCATCCGAACCACTTTAAAAACTCTCATAGCATTTATTTCGCTTTTTATATTCATTTTCACGTGTTCTTTTTTATCAATCAACGCTACGCACGTGACAATTAGTTGGTGCAAAATCCGAGCATCAACAGTTTGGCGCTAGAAGGAGGGGCCTGATTTAGGGTCTACCCTTCATCAGGAGAATCTTTGACCTACTGGTCCTACAACAGCAAATGGCCTGCCAATCTGAGCCAGAGCAAGTTAATCAACGTACTGAAGAAGTTCCAGTTTCGCAAAATGCTGCGGGAGATATCCCGGTAGCTTCACAACTTGACCTTGTCATCAGAAACTACCTGGAGAGGTTCGACAATACTCTCCAGACGGTCAACCAAAGGTTGGACCGTTTGGACCAAGGCATGTCATCTACCACAGCCAGGGCGGTGCAACCGCCAAAGATGCCTACAGGTCGCGCGAAAGCGCGGCAAAGGGCAATAGCCCGTGCCGCGAGCACTGTAGCGCGTAGACGTAAGGGCAAGCAAGTGGCAAAAGGTCAGCCTACGAGCCCCCAGGGACCAACGAGCACAAAAGGTGCCTCGAGCAAGGTATCGGCAAAGCTGAGACTCGGCGAGAAAGTGAATCCCGAGCAGTCCCATGCCACGTCGCAGGCAAACCCAAGCAAAAATGCTGCGCGCGATGATTCTTATCGCCGACAGCAAAACGATCCCGATCGTTATCACGTGGGTGGCCCCCACACCTCGCGGGGCGATTCGTA